ATAGTCTCGATTATAACGACTTGACGTTACCTATAGAAAGCAATCAAGGTTGTAATTATTGTCTAATTGTAAAGCTTTAAATTTGATCGATATTGACGTGGCCGATTTTAGCTAATATCGATTTTCTAGACTTCTGGGTCATGCGCAACTTAACAATATTGTTTACTAATACACCTGTCAAAAGTGGGCTCCACAAGAGAAACTCGAATTAGCACATGAACTGAACTGACATTTTGAATCGAGAGAAAGGTTCATTGTTGTTTTTTTTTGGAATTTTGAATATAGTTGTAACGATTATCCGGTGTTCGAGCGAAAGGACTTTAATTAAGTGCGGTTTACAGATATACGTGGATTTAAGAACATGTAAGCGACCCGCTTTGGCTCCAATTACGGAGGCCGGCGCGGTTGACTTCGATTGTGATCGCGGTGCTTTAATTAATATTTACTTCGTGCTACCGTTTTCATTTCGACTTGTCACCTTAAATGCCGTTATTCCAACCAACTGCTATCCTTAACCTTGTTCAGACATGAGCTTGAAGTTTATTTTTACAGTTTCTTCCTTATCATTTTTTGTAAATAAAATTTAATTTCACCTCGTTAGTTTTAAAAGGTCATCGTTGTCATAAACAAAAGTTATAAATTATTCAAAAATGAATCGCAAATTGTGCGCAAATAATATAAATTTACTTTTCTCAATAAAGTTACAGCAAAATTTATTTGCACGCAAGCAAATCACGTGCTTAGCGGTAATTTATTGCGGACGTTAAAAAAAGAAGAAGCGTCCAGTTTTCGACATCGTATCGCGAAAGGTCGCGTGCCGGAGACCGTTTAAATCTTTGAATCTTATTTAAATTTGAGACGCGTTATACAACAGATACGACGAAAGGATATATGCCACTTTACGAACGCAAATGCTGCAAATTTGTAATTTACCTAATTAAATTGCAGGATCATGAAATTGCAAATCAAACGAATTCATTTACAAAGTGTCCTTAATTTAAACCAATCGACATATAACACGTCACTTGACTCTTGACAATTACCTTAGGCAAATTACAAACAGTCGGTATCCATGACCTGTTGGTGACATATCCTTCAAGAGTTCATTTTCTCGCTGTTACAACATTTATGAAACCAGATTTGTCGATCGTAGTGTTCACATCACTAAATCTTTAGAGGAGGCCTTTGTCCTAGTACAAGCTGTAGATTAAGGATAGCAGTCGCCGGTTCAAAACTATTTTTTTTGATACTCAAGATTATTTACTGTTAAAGTAACTAAAAAGAAAATGTATAAAAATTTGTAAACACTAATTATCTTCCGCAATAAAGGCTTTATTGTTTTGCATATTCTATAATAATAAGTATACCGATTTACATGTAGTAAAAATATTTATGTTAGATGTTATTAAGGAAACATATAGTAAACGAGCAATATACAACAAAAAAATGAGAATTTCTTTTCGTAATTCAACTCATTTGTCGAATCGGAGTTATCCAAAAACCTATAGTTCATTTAAGGATTTGATGCCATCTCGATAGTCCCAACTTTTGTAGTTAATTTTTTTTTGCTTGAACACTAACGATATAGTCGGATTATTCAAACATAAAAAAAAATCTGTGTAATCCAAAGTTGTAATCTCAGATTTTATGCCGCTTTTTATGTTGGAATTCGGCTTTATCTATACAGCGACTTATGTAATGCTCTCGGATAATTAATATGTATGTATTAAGATAAGACTTTTGAAATTTAATTGACATTAATTTCGATTTACGTAACATTACGTGTATTGCTAAAATTTTTACACAATTTAGACAGTGTTTGTTGTAACAAGAAAGTTGAACAAGACGTCAACCTATCCATGATGTCTAAACTATGTATATTTTGTTGGTCAGTATGCGAAAAACAAAAAACGGTTTTTTTCTTAATTTCGTTTTCTTAACAGATTTATAATACTTGCGTATTTCGAAGCTTCATCAACATCAGCTATACATCCCCACCGAGGGGCTCGAAGCCTACCCTAGGTTAAGGGTGATAAGGCTATAGTCATCCACGCTGGCCAAGTGCGGGTTGGTTGACTTCACACATATCTTTGAATTTCTTCTCAGATATGTGTGAAGAATATATGCTTCTTTCGAAGCTTAATAAGCCTTTATTCAGACAGTAAACATCAAACAATTAAAGGTTTTATTGATATATAAATAGTCATAGTCCGTGTGTGAATTCGACAGTGCCTCCTCCATTTTAGACCATAGCATTCAGTTCCTCTGTTCTTGACCATGCAGTCCCTGCTACCGGTTTTGCGCTCGTCGGCCCATCAAGTACCTTGATTTGATTTGTTTATGTTGTGCTTTGTGTACAAGTCTATTATTGATTTAGACCATTTTTACTAAGTCTGAATTCAATACTTGCCTAAGGTTAGAAAGCATCATTAATTACAAATTGTCTTAGATTTTCTGGTTAAAAATACGCTTTAAAACACAATAAGTGTTCTTGTAAAATAAAAGAGCGTTTTATTATTTTTATTTAAAAACATGTGTGTGATTGTACGTAATACCTTTTATGAAATCAAATGTAAGTCGATAATTGTATTGCGAATGTAATTGTTGCAAGTACACGCACGTAAAAGGAAAGTTCGACAACCTCAAAAGATAACCAGGAATTCCCAATTAACACCATTCGATTGTTTCCAATTTAAAAGTTGAACGGATTCAATTCTTTTATGTGTTCTTTATTGATAAATCGACAGCCAGTAATCTTAACACATGCCAAATTAAAAGTAAAATAAAAACTGTTCAGGATTAAATAATATTGTGATCATTGATCGAGTATTTTAAATATTTGCCAAGGAAAGATTGTCAGAGATGTGAACGCATTTAGATTATATTAGATTTAAATAATAATTCATTTTAATACAGTTTTTTTTACTTTAAACATGTTCCACACTAATTAAGAATTTTATTTCTTACGTTCACTAGGAGGAAGGAAAGTGAAGGAATCGAATGACCCCTTAATAATCAAAATCGATTCAGACTCTAGACCAGTGGTTCCCAAACTTATTTTGTCTACTGCCCACTTTGAGAATAAATATTTTTTAGCGCCCCCATATTTTCAGATATTTAAAAACCACTATAATTTCAAATTAAATTAATTAATTATTGTGACCTATATATGTATATTAACGGAGAATTCTAAACGAAACTTTTACTATAACCCGCAACTTGAGACCTGCAGCGCCCACTAGGGGGCGTTATTGCCCACTTTGGGAAAGACTGCTCAAGACTGTCACAATAAAATCCACATATTTAAAAACAAAAATACATACGCTGGAAAAAAATTACCCCTTGTAAGTCGTGTAGTAAAAATACTGCTTTAAAATGCATTAATATATGGTTCTAGCTTTCGCAAACTAAATAATTTTATACTTTCATATGAAGACAATTACAGTCAAATAGCATTAATATTTCTCAACTGTTATAGATGGTCGTAAACGGGAGCTAGTAAATTTGACTGCACGACATATTTACTGGTCTGCCATGGAATATATTTCAGTCTCAAGTTCGGATAAATGCAATAAAATGGTTGAGCTGATGAGATGCTACATAAAGATATCACTACACGAACTATATTCCTCTTTATGATCCACTATTATAGTGCTATCAAAGTTTTCATGCTTTTACTGTGATTACCAAGTCTTCAGTTTTGTAAACAATGTGTGAATTTTGTTTTAAAAATGGAATGTTTATTATTTTTTTTGAATTCTTCCGTAGCTCTTAGTGGCTATTAAGCGTTCAATGTTAAGGTAAATATAAACTCTTGTAATAACATACGTAATAGCTTGCTGTTCGTGTTTATAGACAAAAGAAAATAAATGCGTTTTGTTAAAAAAAAGATAACAGTAACATTAAAATAATTTAAATTACTTACATTGGTTTAATACTGAGTTTTTTTTAATTCAGAATCAACGCTGGTTAAACAGCCATCGATGGCAAACTTGTAGACGACATCGCATTCGCTGCGTTTAATCATAAAGGAACTACTTCTCATTTGAAACAGTATAATTTGTTAAGTAGGAATTATTGTAAACTAGCTGTCGCTTGCGACTCCGTCCGCGTGGTGTTAGTAAAAGTTAATTAGTAGCCTATGTGTTCTTCCAGAATATGTTCTACATCTATGCCAAATTTCAGCGAGATCCTTACAGCCGTATTCGAGATATCTTCAAACAAATATCCATCTATCCAAACAATCGCTTTTATAATAGTAGTAAGATTAGTAAGATTGTTCGAATCGATTCAAATATAATATAATTTTAAAATGTTTCATATGATATCAATAAATGTTGGGTACAATTAGTGTTCAATTAGGCCGTTGTTACATTTTAATAATTAGTGTAAACCCAAAGCTCTTTGTTTCCTTTCCCTCTAATTGTGGCTTGTAGTTATAAATTGTTTCGTAAAATACAACTTTTGTAACACCTCTCACTAATTACTTTCTCTGGATCCAATTGAATTTCATTAGTATGAACTGATATATAGTTTAAACTATAGGAGTCGGCTGTTTCGATTTCTATGATAGAAACATCTTGTTTTACTGCACCCACGTCTAGACTGTCTGGAACTTTTTTCTTCACGTCTGAGGGTGCGGACTGAATTCACCTTTCACAATTATTTCAATTGGAACAATCGCTCTTATGAACGTATACTTGGGATTTTTTAATGAATTTAATCAAAGTTATGACAGCAAAAGTAATAATAATTTGTCACATTTGTGTAATACTAGCTGTCGCCCGATACTCCGTTCGCACAGATTAAAAAGCTTACTTAGTAGCCTATGCATTCTTCCAGACTACGCTCTATTTTTATTCCCAAGGTTACATGCCTTTTTCGGCACTGTTGGTCTTATTGGCACTGAATTTTTTGACGTCCCGATTTTCAACTGTTTGATGTCATCATGTCAACAAGTTCTTGCCACTTTATTCATGTAATGTTTTTCTTTGTTCCAGCGGTGGTAGTGAGGTATTTGACCAAGCGGTACATCGGAGAATACAGTTCTACTGGCGGTGAGTATATTATTTCTTGTACTACGCCCTTGTGTTTGGCATTCAATGTTGTTATTCGTGTTCCAAATTGTATGGACATAATTATAAGTAATAACCGACAGACAGATATTAATAGGTTCGATGATGGGCCCTCAGGGAGGGCTGTGTCTTGCCAAGCTCTGGATGCCAATGCACGAGTTTATTTGCGAATGTTGGCATCGCCGTCGGCGGGAGTGCCATGCCAAGGCTGATGGCGGCGCCCGAAAACATACGGACGTTGACTTTATCAGAAAGATTAAAGTAAAAACAACAATTATTTAACAAAATCATAAGAAAACAAACTGTATAATTGCATTTAAAGTTGACGTTCATCCATTTCATCGTTTCGGATAATTTAATGTTAACTAGTTATTTTTGACAAACAGTATTATAAATATTATTTGTTTCAGATTTTCTCTACCAACATCGAGTAGCGTTTGATGGTGCTACTTCAGAAGTAGAAGTGTTGGACACGTGTGGATGTGCGGTAAATATTTTTTTTCAAATATAACTATTTCTTCAGCTTCATTGCAGATTCTTATTGAGTTTTTTCATCAATAGAAACGAGGATGTTTGCCGGAGCATTTGCGTTGGGGCGATGCATTCGCGGTGGTGTACTCTGTTTGCGACCGGCGCTCTTTCCTGGCCGCGGCTGAGCTCCTGGCTCTGTTAGAGAGGACGAGACTGCCGGGCTGCGCAGCCGTAACACTGCTAGGAAATAAAAGAGACCTGGAACATGCAAGGTACGTGCCAAGAATTCTTTAAAATACCGGCGAAGTGCATGTGCTGAAAAAAAGTGGATGTTTTTAATGTCTAAGAAATGTCATTATTTTGTTTCATAGGTGTGTCAAAGCTGAAGAAGGTCAAGAGCTGTCGTTGCGTTTCGGTTGCCAATTCTACGAGGTGTCTGCGGCGGAGTCGTGCGCGGGTGCAGCGCTCGCTTTCCACGCGCTGCTACGGGAGGCACGCTCTTTGGCGCTACTGCTGCCAACACCGCGCCGCAAACTTGCCGCATATTCCGTCTCTAAGGTACGACTAATGTACTAAAATGTGTCTGCGGCGGATAACATCGTGATATTTAAGTTTACTGATATTAAACACTTACTACTCTCTATCAGATAGGACCTTGGTAGAGCTGACTTGAATTTTCTAGACGGTTCAAGTAGTGGACTTCTTTTGGTACAGACTTAGTAAGATTAACATCAGCGGCCATTCGACACCAAAGATTGAACATTTATAATCTCGTAAAAAGTCATATAAGTGGAAAATTAGGTTCAGGACATAAAGGGACATCTCTCTTCGAATAGCACAGACTCGTTACTTACTTCTTTTTTATTACAGGTGATTGGGACGATTCTCGGTTTGAGCAACAAGAGCGTGAGGAAGAAAAGACCATCTCTCAGCATATGATTCGGCTCTTGCTGATCGTATACTGGATTTCATTGTTCACTCCGCGATAGGAGTATCTTTTCTTTCTGCGCGATGCAGAAAACTTTGTTGGAATGCGGGCCGCGGCTTGGGAGTACGGAAATGACGTAAGGGAATCTCGGTATGAAGCTTTTAAAATGGCCAATTTCTACTTTGTATAATTCCTTTCCATTGTTACGAATACTATTGTTATTTTTGTAAATAAAATAATTTGCCATGCATGTTTAATTATTGATAAGTAAATACCACAGTGTGCCTTTATTTGTACTTTTTTAAGGTTTTCATGTATGTCAAAGTTTTAAGAGATTTCCTTGTTACTGAATTAATTTTACTGTTATTATATTAGACTGATATCTTAAGATAATTTGGAAATGTAAACTCAGTTGTTATGGTGAGAAAATAATTCGTAAAACAAAATGTGTGAAAGGTGAATGTTTGAAGTATTGAATTTTGTTTGCGTATTTATATTTTTGAGGACAAAATATATTAATTTACAAGGTATTAAATTCAGGCAAAAAATTTCAATGATTTTAAAATTTTCCTTTGTATTTGACATACGATTTTTCTTTTTTGGAGTTTTTGTGACACTGATTTTAGTCTTTGGATGACACATTTTGACACATGATTGTGATTTTTTTGTTTATTAACTTAAAGATAGTAAGGCATAACTTTATTGCGACAAATATTCAAGTTTGTTATCATGGTAAATTCCTACGTAAAAGATTAGTCGAATATTTTATCCAGTTAATATGCAAGTATCAAAGAGTAGACAAAGTCTTAACATATTATGAATATTCCTTGAGTTTTCATTTTCTTATTTAATTTATACCCTAATGTTATCCCACCTTAACGTATTTCAGTCATATTAATGCTGCTATGTTTTTAATTTAAGATTTTGCTTTTATATAAATAATTCCTGATACGTGTCAGATATTGAAATATTTTGAATTTACATGTCTCTGAACTTTGAATACCATATGTTTAATGGTATTATTTGTTTTATGTTAAATAATTTTTTTATTTGTAAATACAACATCAATATTCAAATAAAATATTTTTTGATATTATGTTTTAATTTTCAATACATCGAAAACCAATGAAATAAATCTTTTAATTATTTAATTTAGTATTTATCAGAATAAACATATATTAAATTCTATTAAATAAGGTTTTGAGTTGCGGATTCGAATCCGCTTTTCATTTGTTACTATGAACCGACTCTTAGTAAATAAATCTTAAGCTAACATTGTAGCAAAAGCCTAACAATGTAGCTACCTATATTTAAACAAGGAAATTACGATTCTAACATATTCCCCTGTTAAATTCCTATAATAACTTCCTATTCAATGCTACAAAACATTTATACAAGAATAGAGAACAAAATAAGCAAAAACATTAACGAAGTTCGCTTGCATGTACTAAGAACCAGGATATATCTTAACATAGACGTTAATTAGCGGGTATTCCTATGTTCAGACGAGACGGCTACAACTTGCCGCGTCAGTGTGAAGACACCCTAAGGCTCACCAGACATAAATGTATACCCATATCGGTAAAATATTACTTGTCACTCAGAGTTAAATAATGTCGGAGACTTGTCATAGCAACATGCTCTTAATGTGTTTGCGATATTCGATTTTAAGTGGGAAGGGAATTAAATTCTCAACTATAAAATTTTTCTGTATGACGAGTTAGTGTGAACTTTCACCGGTTATAAATATCAATTTTAAATACTAATTTGTACGCAAAACCCGAGGTAACGTCAACAAATTATACTTTCGATGTTATCAAATATTCGAAGTTATTCTCCACCCACTTGTCTGATTTGTGTACTCCGTGGTAACACCCACCGCTTTCAGTTAACGAATTAACTAGTCATCGAGTAAAACCAATTAGGTCTGAATACTAAAATTAATTAATGTGCGGATTAACCTAACAAGGCTTTACATATTAGAAATTTAATTGAAATTTCTCTAAAAGAAAATAAAAACGATTTTGGATTACTTTTGTAAGTTCTATCTCTAAGATGGTATACCTCATTCTTTTTAAGTAACTAGCTGTTGCCTGTGACACCGTCTGCGTGGAATTAAAATAAAAGTAAGCATGAAGTTCTTCCAGGCTACTTTCTGCATCTATAGTAAATTTCAGCACGAGATCCATGCAGCCGTTCTGAAGAAACCTTCAAACATGCATCCATACATCCATCCATCTAAACATTCGCATTTATAATATAAGTAATTAATAATATTAAATTGCCAAAATACATGGTTTTATCTTACTAATATTGCTTTAGCTAACTTATAAATCAGGTAACAAAAACATGAAAAAGACTTCTTCAGTGAAACATTCAATTCATAAACAACTTAATGTTTTATGTGAGTTTATACATATACTGTGTTATCCATGTTGTAAACAGCAGTTCATTATACCAGACAGACTCTGAAAAGGCATTTATCACCTCAGTGATCGCACTGATGTAGACAGGACGTTGAATGAATGTGGTGCAATTTAAATCTCTCTCGTTGAAATCCAGTGGGTGGTTCGCCATCAATCCTTAGGATGGAAGTGTTAACTACAACTAAGTGATAATTACGTTACATTTATCCTACATAGAATTTTTAATTCAGCATGGACTGTGTAGAGGCGACAGCTAATAAATACATGAATGTACAGGCCATTGGAAATTAAATATATTTTACTAAAGATTGACATGTTTAGAACATTGTTTGACATGTCTTGGAAGTGACCTGGACATTCAGACATGAACATTAATTTTATTGTATTATAATGTAAACATTGTTTTCATAATAAACAACAGCCTTGTACAGTTTGAAGTGTTTTGACACTTAATAGTTTGAGTGAATACTATTATGATGACGTATTTATTTGTATTTCAAGGTTCGTATAACTAAAAATAGTAATACTTAACTCATCTCAATTAACTTATATTTTGCGTCTCTTACTTACTTACTTATAATTACTTTACTTATTTTATTCAGTGAACAAACGTCTTCATTTTTAGTCAATAAAAAAAATCTGCTTATCGGTGATTTATTAAAACTAAAACACAAATTACACTTAAAATGGGACAAACTTTTTGGCTACAGCAGATCAAACCCTTCTTATTCGGGTCAAAATTAGAAAAATATGTCTGTCTACGTCAGCTCCATTTTTAAGATTTATAAACAACCAGCCTATGTTCTATATGTATGCCAAATTTCATCCAAATCTGTTCAGCCGTACTGGAGATATCTTCAAAGAAACATCCATCCATCTAAACATTCGCATTCATAGTATTAGTAAGATAGTAAGAAGTATGATAAGATTTAATTATGATATACATCTAAGCTTCAGTAGAATTGTAATAATTAGGTCTAATAGCAGTACTAGATAAAGGAGACAGGCATCACAACTGGTCAAGATAAAACGGCGCCATCACATGACAGCTGGACATGACGTACAATTCTGTGTTATCCAGTATTATGCAAACTCGAGGTTAACGCCGCGAGTCTCTCAAATAGCATCGTAAAACTTTTACGATGCATAAAAATTTAAAAACGAAACGCATTTTTGAATTTACTGCATTTTAAAAATCATATTCGTTACTTATATTTTAAATACGTTATTCAATTACATAGTAAAAACTGCTATTGTACGACAATATTCATATCCCAAGTAAGTTCGTGATTGAATTCTAAACATCTCTAATAAATATATTCAAAATGCTTTAATGCTTATATTCGACGCATATAAACTACGAAAATAAAAAAATAATACCACATTCCTGTACTCCTATTATGCAAATCACTTAATGTAATCGAATCCCAACGAAATATTTTCACATTAGACTGAATATCATCTACATTACGTAGGCACTATTGTCTTAAATGGAGTTAACTTCTAGCTTTGTGCACTTTTATCTATAAATATCACAATGCATTTTCAACCTTCTTGTATATTGAATAGGTTATAGTTTTGCTTTTGCAGTATACATTGACGTGTGGCGTTTGTTTTTGTTTGACTATGTCGGCGCCAGGGAGGAAGGTCTACCGAACACGATGCGCTCATCGAAAATATCACATTATCATAATGCAATACGTGCAACGTGAGAGATGCGGCCGTAATTCACATTAAATATTCCAATGTTACTAAATAAACATATTAAATTGCACATTTATCAACATTTCAGAATAATTTTGATAAAAATAATACTCAAACGTTTTCTATTGCGGCAGCGTCTTTTTTTGTGACTGAGTAGACACTATTTGCCTTGAGGCGACATTTACAGCTTCACCTGGCTTGAGGTGGCCGAGCGCAGATGACACTTAGCCTAAACCTCGTTTAAGAGTAACTAAGGCTCCTTCAGGAACCTCAGCTCGGGTCGTTACTTCGTTATTATTACCGGATCGGGACGCCGCCGAGCTCTTGTGGCAGCGTCATTATAATCCCACATTTATAGTGTCTCCAGTCATCACAGTAGGAATATTTTGATAAACGAAATATTTATCTCTCTAATTAATATTTACAGTCTAGAATTAGAACATGAGACTCTAATCTCCAGAGTATAAAACATATCGTCATCCCTGTCATTATCTTTAACAAATCAAAGAAAATAATGTTTTAAATGGGGATTTGGGTCCCAGAATCTCACCGTAAAAAGGCCAGTTATTTAAATAGATTAACAAAGAAACAAAATGTCTTATTTACCAATCAAAAATTAACAAAGGTGTACTAGAATATTACGATTTCTGCTACATCTTTATCAACGCTGATTTTACAGTGAAATATTTGGAGGCTACATTTCCTACAACAATATTTTATGGTTTGTATACATTCAAGACGATCTTACTATTGGGCAACTAAGGAACAGACTTGTTATTGATTTAACAAAAGACTATTGTGAAATCAGGGCACGGTTTCTTCATTCGTTTTGTTATGATTTCTAAACGCAAATTGCAGGCGTTGTAATGAAACACACATTTGCGGGAACAGGGGAAGGTCGTCCTGATGATTTAGTGCACATAAATATTCATTGTTAAACCTGCCACCGTCGCTCAGATGGGTTATTTGCGTAGCGTAGGCGAACCCACAACTTGTCAATGTTTCCTGCATTATTTCTCAACATCACTATTATTATTGAAATTAAACTTTTTCAACGGTTCACTAATTGGATGGGAATCGAGTTGAAACATAATCTTTTAGGACGTGGGAATCTTGGAATTAGATTCTAAAGATACAAATTGTATTTGATTAGGCAGAAGTTGGCCTAATCCGATGAGGGAGAGCCATAAACAAGAAACAGAACAGAACAGGTTAGTCAGAATATATTTAATGAAAGTGTATACTTTCTTAAGCGTAATTCACATTAAATTGAAAACAAAAGAAGTTCATTGAAATTAATATAAACTAGCTTACGCCCGTGACTCCGTCCGCGCGGAATGAAAAAGACTTAATTAGTAGCCTATGTGTTCTTCTAGACTATGTTCTACATCTATGCAAATCAGTAAGTTCCATGCAGCCATTCACGTGATACCTATAAACAAAAAATCCATCCATCCATACAAACATTCGCATTTATAATATTAGTAAGACTTACACTTTGACAGTAATTTTTATTTCTTTTTTTGTAGCTGTAATTTTATACTTAACATTAAATAAACATGATATTTTCATTTTAATTAAATAATCAAAGCTTATCTTATCACACTGACTTAACCGATTTTTTCTTAACAAAAACGTTGTAATGAAATGACTCTTTCCACTTCATAAACTTAACACTTAATGCTCTCTGATAATTTCTTAATAAAATAACTATTAAGGCCGAAACTCTCGAGAAGAAATACATTTCCTCTTTTCGAAAATAAATCGATCGATATACAGGTGAAAAGAATTTAAACGCCGTTTCGTTAGCGTATTAAATTGACTTTAAAATTTTGTTACAGCTAATAAATGTCGAGATTTTATTAAGATTTCATAAAATGATACAGAATACCGTATAATTTAATTATTACC